AAAAAAAAATAAATACAATCACAATTTTTTTCTCTTTTTTTTATGTGGGATCGAACCTGGGACCTTGCATTTGCCAGGCAGGCATTTATGCCGCTAAGCTATATCCCCAGCCCTGTAGGAAATTTAATAATCTTTTAAAATAATCTTTATCTTGGATCTAGAGAATTTTTTTTTTTTTTTTGGCGGTACCAGGGATTGAACTCAGGACCCGGGGCTTGCTAGGCAAGTGCTTATTCTACTGAGCTATCTCCCCAGGCCTGGAGAAATAATTTTTATAAAAGTAAAGATTATTCACTGGAATGTATAGTGAAGGTTTATTAATAGTTTATTAACAGTTAATGGCAATTATGTTTTATGTATACAGGAAAGAAATGAATGTTTCTTTTTTTTTCTTTATTTTTATTTTTTCTGCTGAACTGGGGATTGAATTCAGGGCCTTGCACTTGCCAGGGAAGCATTTATTCTACTGAGCCATCTCCCTGGCCCAAGAAATGAATGTTTCCATGAAGAATTTCTAAACACTCTTCCTAGACAGCCTCTCTCCCTTCTTTAAAAAAAAAAAAAAAAGGTAACCAGGTGTGGTGGCCGAGAAGAAGGATTGTAAGTTGGGAGGCCAGCCTGGGTAACTCAGCAAGAGCCTGAATCAAAAGGGAGGGAAAAGGAGAGTGGGGCAAGTAGGGATGTAGCTCTGTGGTAAAATGCTTATTTAGCATGTGCAAAGCACTTTGTTCAATCCTTATCATGCAAGCTACAATAGCAGCAGCAGCACCAACAACAATAAATAAAACAGGAAACAAAACAAATCACACTAAGCCTACACAAGTTTAAAAGAGAAAGATATAATGGAAAATCCCAAGAGGTAGAGCTATTAAATGCCACCTCAAATGTTTGGGGACAAGTTTTAGTATATGAGTCTATTTACCTAATTTTAGCAATCTGAAAAAAATTTAGAGAAATATAATTGTATCAAAGGGAAGATGCTTAGAAATCCAACTGTAAGACACAAATACATTTTCTCTCCAAATTGCAAGTTAAAATTACTGAAATTTTATACTTATTAGTTATTTAAACAGTAACTTTCTATTTTTAAAATTTTAAACAAAATACAGAATTCCTGAGCATTTAACATTTGAAGTTTCATAATAACTTTCTGAACTATTTAAGACTCACCATCATTTCAAAGTGAAGGGTAAGGGACAAGGAAATGCCTTAACTCTATTCCAAATTTAACTTTATCAAAGGGAATACAGAAAAATATAAAGTATTTCATCAATAAAGAAAATATTTTTAAGAACAACTTTAAAATGATATACAACTTGAGACTGATTCAGGACAAGCAGATGCTAAATGTCATTCTTTACTGAAACCAACCTTTTCTATAAAAGACTGCATTGAGGAACTCTTCTGCTTGTCTCTCGAACCGAATGATTTTTGCTTGCTCTTGTGTAAGCAGAGCTTCTTGCCCAGCTCCCGAAGCTGGTTCATCCAGGCGGACTAAGTGTCCCTGTAAAAATATTTGGTGAAATATTTGTACACAATTTTCTCCCATTCAAGAAAAAAAATCACAGATGCATAAAGACAAGAGCAAATAAAACATGAGTTTAATATAATTATTTTAAATTAGGAAAATTTTATCTTTACAAAAGTATAAAAGCGAAATGAATATAAACTTATAATCTAGGTGGATTTTACCCATGTTTTTCAATTAAAAGTTTTGTTCAAAATTTACAGGTAAACTAAATTACTTAAGGAAAATTTTCCTTGAGCATTCAAATATACTGGTTCATCACAGGCAAATCAAATCAGACAAAATACTTTTCTTAAATTAAAAATTAAAAACCTCAAATATCACTAAAGGATCATTTTTGTCTTTGTGAGGTCTATTCACTCCAGACACAAGACACAAACATTTTGAAAGAACTATCATAAAGGAAAACCCAAAAAGAATATACTGTATTAGATTTCATAATTTTGTTCATAAGTTACTGTTTAGTTTTTTTTTTTTTTTTTTTTTTTGCGTGGGGATTGAACTCAGGCCCTTACAATTGCCAGCGAAGTGCATCTCCCCAGACGGTAATTGCATTACCATCACTACGAATTTTATACATAATAGAAGAAGTTAATAATCCCATATTAACAGTAAAAACTATAGGGCACCAATGATACTGAAGTTATGAATATACTGATTATGAAGAATTAAATTTTGACTCCTATATAATCCCCACAACAGATTTAAAACCAGGAGAACTTCGACTACTAGAAGTCGCTAACTGAGTTGTTCTCCCAATAGAAATACCAGTTCGTATATTAATCTCATCAGAAGATGTACTACACTCGTGAGCTGTTCCATCCTTAGGGTTAAAAACAGATGCCATTCCAGGGCGACTAAACCAAGCAATTTTAACATCACCCCGTCCAGGTTTGAGCCATCTCCCCAGCCCCATAAGTTACTGTTTTAAAAAAAACTATGGCTCTCAAACGTTTAGTGGGTTGTAAAATTAACAGGTCAAAATTAGCCCACTAAGAAAAGGCATTAAAAAATAACATGTTACATGTTCTAAGTGTAAACATTTCAATACCCTTTGTTGTAACAGTATGCTCAAACACATTTTGCAATACAAAATGCGCCTCAAAGTCCTCTGCTTGGAAAGTTCTAAAATGCTGAAGTAAAATTAGCCAAGCTGATGCTAACATCTACTCCCAGACTGCTGATACGCTTTATTAAGTGCATAATACTTTATACTTATTTTCATGGCTCTATTAAGCAAACAAGAATAGAAAATAAGACCATAAAGCAAAGTATCCTTTCAAATATTAAGTCCCAGTGCATACAACTTACTCCAAATCACTGCAATAATTTTTTTCATTAATGAAAAAAATGTATGTTCTCTAAATGAGAAAATAGGACACACTTTGCCATAGTAAAAAGGAATTAAATGAAGAGTGAAAGCATTATGAAACCCACAAGTTACTTCTTCAAAAAACTTAAGTGGTGCCAGGGAGATAGCTCAGTGGAATAAGTGCTTGCCTGGCAAGTGCAAGGTCCCGAGTTCGATCCCTGGTACCACCAAAACCCAAAAAACAAAAAACTTAAAACACATCTACCGATACTTCTATAGAAGTTTGTTATAATTTTCAAAGTATATTGAGTATTTTAAACCTTTGTGAATGTTACTTGCCAACAGTCTCAAAAGAACATGCTAAACAAAGTAATTTTTAAAGAATGAATCATAAAATAATGTAATTCTAATGTAATTTAACAGGTATGAAAAACAATTAGAGCTTAATAAAATCTTTAATGATACTATACTTTTCATTGTTCACTGATTGTCAAAGTTAGACATCACATGTCAAAATGTACTTCACTTCTTTGTTCAACAATCAGTTCAAGTCAGACACTGAACAAAACAGTAGTAGTACTTAAAACTTAGTTAACATGGCATTCAGGTTATTGTCTTTTTTTTGTTGTTGTTACCTTCTAATCTAAAGCAATACAATTAAGCAACCAGCTGAGCACTCACTAAGCAGATATTGTATGTTCTTTCTTCAATCAAATCTTTATCAACCAGGATTCTAAAGTATATAGATCATTTAGGTGATACATATCAACTATAGTTACAACTCTTTATTTTGCTTTTAGACACTTTGCCCACCTTATATTTTACACAGCTAATATAAAATTCAATGGTTTTCATTCACATCTGTAAATTACTATTGCCAGAATCTAATATGAGAATGTTTTTCCTAACATCCAAAATGAACACTGGAACCACTGATACTCAGCCCCCATACCCCTAACCTGTGCACAATTCTTGGAAGCCACTATACCACTACATGACCTTTGGCCTATATCTATGTGCCTGTTCTAGATATTTCAACTAAATGGAATCACAGTTTTTTCTTCTAATGTTTTTAAATGTATACATTACAGCATTCTTTAGTAATTACTTGCTTTTATTGGCAAATAAACACCTTATCAATAAACCACATTTTATTGATCCATTCATGTGTTAAATATTTAGGCTGCTGCCACCTTTTGGCTATTATATGAGTGACACTACTCATTGTACAAATTCTTGTGTAGCTATGTATTTTCATTTTCCTTGGACATATACTTGGGAATAGAATTTCTGGGTCATGTTAACTATGTTTAACATTTTGAGGAAGTACTGATCCATTTTCTACAATAGCTATGCCACTTTATATTCCCAACAGTAATGTGTGTGTTCCATTTTCTCCACATGAACTTATTTTTCTGCTTTTCTTATTTTCTCTTATTTTTTCCCAGTGAACTTATTTTTCTGATTACAGTCTTTCTAGTAGATGAGAAGTGATGTGTCATGGTTTGACTTATATTTTCTTATTGATGATGTCTAGCTTCTTTTCAGATGCCTAGTGACTACATGAATACATTCTTTAGAGAAATAATCTGTTCAAATCCTTTGCTCATTTCAAAACTGAATTATTTGCTGTTAAGCTGCTTTTTTTTTGGTATCAGGGACTTGCTATGTAGTTCAGACTGGACTCAAACTCACAGGAATAGCCTCCCAAGTACTGGAATTACAGATGTGCAACTACCATCTAAATTGTAAAAATCACTGATACTTCCCAATACAACTATTCTATTCAAATATCTTCACCCATTTTGTGACCCTTTTCATTACTTCATTTATGACACCATCATATTAAGTTTTTAATTTTAATGAATTCCAATTTATTTTCTTTGTTCATTTATGCTTCTGGTGTCAGCTAAAAAATGTAGTTAACTCAAGTTCCTAAAGATTTATTCCCATGTTTTAGAAGTGTTGTATTTCTACGGCTTACTTTTAGGTCTATGGTCCATGTCAAATTAATTTTTGTATTTGCTACAATGTCTAACTTCATTCCCTTTGAGGTAATCAGTTATTCTAGCACATGTGTACGTTTGGATTCTTCTGCCTATAGAATTGTTCTGGGGTACTTGTCGGACATTCATGATCACATGTCTTAAATCTGGAACTCAATCCTATTATACCAATACCATATTACTTTTTACAAGTGTAGTTTGGTATTTAGTTTTGAAATTGGTAAATGTGAGGGGGTCTGCCCATTAGCTCAATTGTTTAGTGACTGCTTAAAAAGAGCAGTCAGGTTCAGGTTGCTGTGGTTCAATTCCCCAGATCCTCAAGCCTTACTAAACACCTGCCCTGAAGGCATCTTGAGCCAGCCAAAAAAAAAAAAGAAAAATTCCTTCTTCTGAAATTGGTAAATGTGAATTGCTCAATTTATTCTTTTACAACGTTAATTGGGATTCTAGGGGGAGGGTCTCTGAATTTTCATAAGTTTCAGGATCAGCTGGGATTCTGATGGAGAATGCACTGAATCAGTTTATCAAGTTGGGGAGTAATGTCATCTTAACATTAAACTTTTCTGATCTATAAATATGGAATGTCATGTATTTGCTGTCAACGTTCTACAATTTATAGTGTGCAAAGTTTACATTTAATTTCTAAGCATTTTATTCCTTTTGATGCTACTGTAAAGAACTTTCTTAATCACATGTATTTTCCACTTAGTTTCTAGAATAACACTATTTAAAATGTGTATTCAGATTATTTGTAAACAAAAATAATTGTACTTCTCTTTTTTATAATCAGGATGATTCTGATTTATTAGTGCCTAAGTTTACTGGTTAAAGTCTACTAAACAATCAAGTGGCAAGTATATAGTCCTGTTTTGTTCCTAATCTTAGGAGGAAGCTGTTCATAATGTTCATTTTATTTTTTTGGCGGAACTGGGGATTGAACTCAGGCCCTCATTCTACTAAGTTATCTCCCCGGTGAGGAAACAGTTCAATGTGCTACTATTCATATGTTTTTGTGCAGTTCCTTTTTTTTTAAATGTGTGTTTGCAAGAAGACAGAACTTTCCAGTACACAGAGCCAGAAAGCATCTCTTCCATCTTTTTGTTGGTGCCAGGGATCGAACTCAGGACTTCACATTTGCCAGAGAGGTGCTTATGTCACTAAGCTATCTCCCAGCCTATGGTGCATGTCTACAGTATATAAAATTTACATTCATCTTATGGACTGGCAACATGTACTTAATGTATCTTCATTCTTTTTATTCCCCTTCCTATTCCTCTCTTTCCCTTAATCTCCAGATCCCCTTTCTTCATTCACATTATTTCTTATTTCTTATTTGCAATCACAATGATTACAATGAGTATTTATAGTGCACAGAGATATGATGTTTCTTAAATCTCTATATCCTCTAGTTCTCCCCTACTCTCCTAACCCTCAGTCTTAGAGCATTTCCCATCTGAAAAAGGTTTCCTTGATTCCTTTATTCAATTTTATATTTTGCTTTGTATATATTTTGCTCTTTATTTGTACTTTGCATTACTCAAATGAAAGAAACCATACAATATCTAAGCCTGTCTCTGATTTATTTCACTTAACAATGTTACCCAGGTGAATCCACTTTCCTACAAATTTTCTCTATCTATCTATCTATCTATCTATCT